ATTATATGCAACATGATTGAGGGCATGTAAGGTAAAGTGCTTGAGCTTTAATACAAGGGATTTTATGTCATCTAGTTTGGATTGTTCTGAGGCCTTTAAAAAAAAAAGCTCATTTCCTGGTTCTTAGCTGTGTTACAGATAGCACATGATAAATTCTTATGTGAATTATTCCTGAATTAATCTGTTTTATAAATTAGCCTTTTGTGTATTGATTTTCTTCATTTGAATTACACAGGTGAAAATGATCTTTTCCCTGTCAGATTTCTTGTTATTAGCTCTCTTTTGCTCCATCTAGCCAACTTATATGTGTTGTTTCCCCATTTCTCCCTAATTCCCTGTCCTGTCCCACCTCCATTAGATTCTGAAGAATCACCATCATTTTTGTATTGGTTGACTTACTGAGTATTTAATAGCTTAAAAGATCTTGATAATGTCCCTAAAGTGATTCCTTCAACAAATATTTATTGAAATGCCTAGTACAGATAAGACATTATACTAGATGCTAGGAATACATGAATGATAAATGACAGTCCTGCCCTCAGGAAGCTTATATTCTGAGTCAGGGAGAGGCAGAGTGCACAAATATATATAATATAAGATAGAAGGGCCAAGAATGCTCTAGGAAAATTTCAAGAGAATGAAGGTAGGCTTTTACTTCTGTGTAATCAAAGAAGGCTTCATGGAGGAGGGCATCTGCTGGGGTTCCAGTCTCTCCTGATTGGATATTAGTTTCTTGTGAGGAGAGATTGTTTATTAGTTTGTCTTTGTATCTCCAGGACCCAGTACAGTGTCTCCCATTTAGTAAGCACTTGAGAACTTCTTGTGGATTGATTGATTTCTAATAAAATATAAACATAAAGATATCTCAAAACTTTTAATTTACTTGGATCTGGATAGAACCTTTTAAATGAAACTATTGATACCAGAATAGTAACAAAACATCTGTTATTTTCGTGATGCTGTGTAGTTCTCAGAGTATTTACACTTATATTTTAGGCTTATTTGATCTTCACAATACCCCTATAAGGCAAAGAAACAAGACTAAAACCCAGGTTTTCTGATTTCTAGTTCTGTGTCAGGAAATTGTTCTTTTCAAAATGGAAGAAGTTAGGATACATTCCAGTTGTTTATATGGAAACCTTCAGCTGTCAATAATTTGGAAGTCATGTCTGTCAGTCATCCAGCATTTATTATATTCCTACTATAAGTCAGGCACTGTGACAAGTGCTCTGGATACAAAGAAAAGCAAAAACCGGTCCTGCCATCAAGGAACTTACATGCAAAATATGTACAAAGTAGATGGAAGGTGCTAGTAGTATCAGCTGGGGATGGGGGTGAGGAAAGGGAGGGGAGGGAAGGTAAAGTCTCTTGCAGAAAGTGAGAGGAGCTGAGTTTTGAAGGAAGAGGGCATGAAGGAACAGAACATTCTAGACTCACAGAATATCAGGTCAGTCTGTAAACATATATTTATTAGGCACTTACTGTATGCCAAGTAACCTGCTGAAGGTCTGGGGGCCAGCCACCCTCCGACCCCCACACCGCAAAAAAAAAAAAAAGCCATGGTTTCTACTTCCATATTCTAATATGGAAGACAACATGCAAATATCTAGGTACAGCCAAGCTATTTATAAAGGTAATCTGAAAAGAGAAAGCATTAGCAGAGCTAGCAGGTGAGGGAGAGGGAGGAAAGGGGAAAGGACTAGGAAAAGCCTCCTGCAGAAAGAGCTGAGTCTTGAAAGAAACCAGGGAAACAAAAGGCAAAGGTTTGGGAGCAGAGAATTCCAGGTGTTGGAGACAGCCAGTGAAAATAATAGGAAAAGAACTATCTTGTTCAAGAAACTGAAAGTAAGATGGTATGGCTGGATTGTAATGTGTGTGGATCTACAGTATAAGTAGGATGGAAAGGTAGGAGGGGACCAGCTTATGAAGAGCTTTAAATGTCAAACAGAAAAGTTTATGTTTGGTCCCGGAGTTAATAGGGAGCCTCTGAAGCTCAGTGAGCATGTGGATGACATGGTCAGACCTATAAAATCATCTTGCAGAGTGGAACATGATTTGGAGTGGGGTGATATAATTGAGGCAGGTATGAAGGCCTATACCAGAGTTGTCGCTGTATGAGTGGAAAGAAGGAGACATATAGGACAAGTGTTTTCAAGGTAGAAAAGACAAGATTTGGCACTGGATTAGATACATGGGGTGAGGATGATACTGACGTTGTAAACCTGGGTAACTGGGAGGATGACATGTCTTCAACAGTAATATGGAATCTGGTTTATGAAAAGATAGTAAGTTCTGTTTTGGACATGTTGAGTTTGAGATGCTGACATGATATCTAATTCAAGGTGTCCACTAGGCAGTTGATAATGCATAAGTGTATAAAAAGTTAGATGAAAAAAGTTGCTGAAGCCTCCAGTGTTCATGATTTATTATAGACGGGTTATAGAAACTTCAGCAAAGTAGCAGATGAAATTCTGCTCTAATAGGTCTAAGTAACAACTGTTAAGAAGACTCATTCTTTACCATACTAATCTGCTGTACACTAATATAGTTACTCAGAGATTACCCTACACATATCAGCAGAAGAATGATTGAATCATTGGGTGCTTAAGTAAGTAGTATCATAAGAGAGGATTTATCTTTATTGCTCCATCATAGAATTGATCAAGCCCTTATGAATAAATTCTATTATAGAACTCGTTAATTTCAAGAATAATTTAATATCCTGAAGAGAGCACAAAATGGTGATAAAAAATTAGTCTTGCTGGACTTAATTAGCTAGGGGAAAGAAGGAATATTAATAATAGTAATATTTAGGTACCTGACAAGTTCTTTGGGATTTTCTCTGTTTCAAGGTTTGAATTAGAAAAAGTGAATTCACTACAACAGTAGTCTTAAGTAAGGATTGTTTCTCACATATACAACTAACTCTACAATAGAGTTCACTTGCAATTAATAAGTTTTTTAGATTTTTAAAGACTGCATATAGTTTATTATAACTGACTTCACTAATGAACAGAAATTTTTGTTTAGAATGGCTTAAGTAACATTTAAGGATTATTTTTATTAATAGCAATAATAGCTAGTGTTTATATAGCATTTTAAGATTTGGAAAGCACTTTACAAATCTTATTACATTTTATCCTTGGTATAGCCATGGGAAGTAGGTACTCTTATCATTCCATTTTTAGATGAGGAAACTGAAACAGATAGGTTAAGTGACATGCCCAGCTAATCAATCACACAGCTGGTAAGTGTCTGATTTACACTCATATCTTCCTAACTCTAGGTCTAACACTCTACCTACTGTGCCACATAGCTGCTCCTAGGTGTTTACATGATTTTAGGTATTTAATTGAATTAAAATGGGGAGAAGAAGAAATAATAATAATAGCTAACATTTTTGTAGTGGCTACTATGTGCCAGACACTGTGCTGAATGTTTTACATTTATTACTTGTTTGATCCTCACAACAACCCTGGGAAGTAAGTGATATTATTATACCCATTTTACAGTTGAGAAAACTGAGACGAAAGTTAAGTGACTTACCCCTGGTCACACAGCTAGTAAGTAGTTGAAACAGGTTTTGAACTTATGTCTTCCTGACTCTAGGTCTAGCACTTTACTAACTGTGCTACCTGTCTGCCTGTGTTTATATGTTTATAGCTATTGGTTGAATTACAGAAGGGGAGAAATATGCTCATTGGTGAACATTCAAAAGCTAGAATTTAACCCATTGTTCATATTATATAAACAGTCCTGAGAATTGAAGATATAAAGTAGTGTTTTCTTTGGAGTTCATGGTCAGAACAAGATTTATTTCCAAGTTCACAGACATTAATTTGACAAAAATTTGTTCTTTTTGAGGAGAAGATTGGCATAAAGCAAAAATCATTAGCATGATCATCTTGAAGCATATTGAGGTTTACAAAAAGGACTTAAAAGGTGTCACCTAGAGACAGTTATGATCAATTGCATGAAGATAGGTTGCTCTTCCAGAACTCAGCATCACCTAAAATGAAGTATCACCTGCCAGCCTTAGAAATAAGAGTGAGTTGCCTGACCCATAGCAGATGACCAGTAAAAAAACCAGTTCTTTCCCTTGGTACCGTTCCATGGGATTTGGGTTATCTCTTTAATACAATTTCAAAAATCATTTTTAATAAAGATGTGCTATTGTCCTTATAAGAAATGAGTGAAATGATTTGAAAAAGATAAGGAAAGACATCTATGAACTGATATAGGATGAAGTGAATAGAAACAACAGTTTGTACTGTAGCATCAATAATAAGAGTGAACAATTTGGAGGACTTATATAAACTGATGAAGAATGTACTGAGCAGAACCTTTTGTACAATAACAGCAGTGTAAAGACAGATAACTTTGAAAGGTTTGAGAACTATGATCAATACAGTGAGCATTCATGACTTCAGAGGACTGATGATGAAGCAGGCTGTCAGTTATAGAGAGGTGGTGGATTTTGGGTGCAGAATAAGACATAGATATATTTTTTTCTGTGGATACCCATTGAGTAAACTTGTTTTGCTTGAATATTCAAATTTGTTAAAATAACTTGTTTTCTATTTTTCAATGTGAAGGGGAGTAGGCAGGAGATAAAAGAGATTTTTTTTTAATAGGGAGGTGGGAGAGTGTTACATATGAGAAATAATGTGTGAATTTTCTGATGAGATTACTGTATTTTTAGTTTTATTTAATTGTTTTACCTTGTTACAAGAGACATGTCATGAAGCAAGAGTAATCTGTAAAAAATCATGATATAAAAAATATAACACATTCATAAAACCAGAAGGGGAAAAATGAAAAATAGATAAATAAGATGTTGGGAAAATCCTACTATATCCACCCTCACTGAGTGTGTCCTGGCAAATGTGTTTCAAATACAATGTGTTTCAAATACTGACCTAGCTTCAGTGAAAATCAGAATGGTTTTGGAGGCTTTCTTGTTGCTTATGAACAATGTGTTTCTTTATTTGCTTTTACAGATTGAAGATGGTATGTTTTCTTTGAATCATCCTAATCAGTACTTTTTGGAGAGCCAGAAGCTTCTCAGTGGTGGCCGAGAAGTCAGAAAGGAGCCTAGCCAGCCAGAAGTTCCTCAGGCCAAGCAGAGTGTCCAGAAAACTTCTAATTCCACATCTTCTCCCCCAGCATCTTTAGATTCTACACTGGAAATGGATATGGAAGGGTTGGAGGGTTACTTCAGTGAATAACACTTGACTGTCTCCCTTCTTCCTCAGCTTTCAGTTCTTCTTCCTAGGTTTTATCCGTCTCCCCCTCCCCCCCCAACCTAATTAGTAACAGGAGAGTCATTTTCCAGGATGGATGTAGGTATTTCATTCATTTTATAACCTGAAAGTAGTATCTTTTCATTCCTCTTAGTTTAACCTATTGCTTTGCCACTCCTTTTTCTCTCTACCATCCTGATGAAAAATAAATACTGAAATGGAAATGGAAACGTGTATGTGTATGAGGAAAAAAAATACTGAGGGAAAGAGCTGACATAATAGCAGATTGGATGTTGCCACATTTAAAAAAAAAATGATAGTATATTCTAGGGACTTCCCAACCTGCTTCTAGTTGCCAAATGCCAAGAAAAGAGGGGGTATAAATCATCAGAGAACAGCAGAACAGTCCGCAAAACTATTTCTCATCTGGCCAGTCCCCTTTATTTTTGATTTTTTCACATAAAAAAGGAGAAATCCCTCGCTGAATGGATTGTCATTTTTTTTTGTGGCTGTGATTGGCAGCAAAATCTCTCAAGTGTACCTTAAATCTGTGACTTGTAAATGAATGGATAAAGGAAAACAAAGAAAAACCTTGTATATATCTGGTTTTGTTTTCATTTTCATTCGGAGGCTTCATTACCTAAAATAATTAAACTTACCAACTTTAATTTTCAGTTTGTTCTTTGATAGGCTCACTAAGAATCAAGAGTTGGTTAAGGGGGAGATAGAAGGCAAGCTTGTGTGAGTTAATTTTATCTTCTGTCCTTTAAAAGTCAGTACTTCTGCTTCTGTTGACACTGAGTAAAGTCACATAAGTTTGGCAGGTTACATGGTTTTGCTGGAATCATAAGCTTCTTGGAAAGTAGTGTAGTATTATGAAAAGAAGATGAGAATTCAGATGCCTATATTTAGAGCTAGAAGAGACCTCTGAGGTCTGCTCCTGCCCATCCAACCCTCCATTTTATGGAGAAAGATCCTGAAACCCAGAGAAGTGGAATGATTTATGGGATCCTACATCTAGAGCTGTTAGGGACCTCAGAGGCCACCTAGCCTAGTGATTTTCCTAAAGTGCTGGTCACGTCACTCAGTAAACTCCAGTGGCTCCCTATCACTTTTAGGATTCAAAGCCCTTCATAACTTAGCCCCTTCCTACTTTGCCAGTCTTCCTGTACCTTACTCCTGGCCACATACACTTTGATTCAGTGACACAGGCCTTCTTGATATCCCATGAACTAAGACACCCCGAATTTTACTTGGCTTTGGGCTTTTTCTCTGGCGGTCTCCCATGCCTGGAACACTCTTCCTTCTCAGTTCCACTTATTGATTGACTTCCTTGGCTTCCTTTAAGTCTCAGCTAAAATCCTGTCTTTTACAGGAAACCTTTCCCAATCCCTTTTAATTCTAGTGCTTTCTCTTTGTTAATGATTTCTTATTTAGCCTGTATATAATTTTCTTCATATGTATTTGCATATTGTCACTCCTCTTAGATTGTAAGCTCCTGGAGGGCAGGAACTGTTTTTTGCCCTTTTTTTGGATTCCTTAGGCCAGGTCTTGCCACTTACTTGTCATTTACCAATATCCAAAGGAATAAACCTATCTAAATTTCAGTTTCCTTTCTTCCTTGGAGTCAGAAAGACCCAAGTTCTAATACTGCCTCATACATGTACTAGCTGTGTGACCCTGGGCAAGTTACTTACCATTTCTTAGCCTCACTTTCCTCATCTGTAAAACAGTACTGATAATAGCAATCAATAGGATTGTTGTGAGGATCAGTATGACACCATACATAAGTGCTAGCTATGATGATGACAAATTATGTTGTTATTGTTTAGTAGTTTTCAGTCATGTCCAACTTTTTGTGACCCCATTTGAGATTTTCTTGGCAAAGATACTGGAGTAGTTTGCCCTTTCCTTTCCTAGCTCATGTTAATATGTGAGGAAACTGAGGTAGCTACTATATATCTGAGATCTCCTTTGAACTCAGGTCTTCTTTACTCTAGGCCCAGTGCCCTATCCACTGCATGACCCAGCTGCCCTAATGACAGATTTTGTCATTATACAAAGTTATTTAAACTTAATCTCTTGGAACTGTTTTGTTTGTATATTTTATGGGTCTATCAGTCAACAAGTATTCATTAAACAGCTGCCTTGTGCTGGGCAATGTGCTAGGCACTGGGGATACAATATACAAGTAAGACAGTTTCTACCCTCAAGGAGCTTACATTCTACTAGGTGAATACACTATATTCACAGATAAGTTTCTGTTATGATAGAAGAAAGGAAATAGTAAGAATACCCTTCTTGCTCTATATGGCATCGTTTTTTGTGGACTGTTTCGTAGCTGGCAGCATTTAACAAAGCTCCCTTTTTCTACTGTCCCACATTTTAACCTTCCATTTTTTAACTCTTTTCAAAATCATACAGTTTCTTCCTGACTTACTTGTTTTGAAAGTTCTCTAGTCATCAAAAGAAGGGAGAAACTGTAGCCTGGTGTACATTCCACCTTCTTCTTAGTATATTTTGTGTCTTGGTAGAGTATTGGTTTTAAATTGTGAGCCCCCAGAGTTAGGATCATGTTTCTTCCTTACCTCAGGCCAGAATTCTGTTGGTGTTCACAAACAATGCTAATTAAAATACATCGTCATTAGTAGCATTACACACTCACTTATTTTGTAATAAAATCTGTGATTTCCTGTTACTTGTGTACATATAGGAGATTACCAAAAAAACTAAAAAAATGTTGATTAGTGGATTTAGGAATGGGAAGAGGGTTATATCAGAAGGCAGAAACTAGTGCTCTTCTGCTTTATTCAAGCTGGCAAAGGCAATTTATTTTTCATGCTTCGAGAATCTTGACAATTTTGATTCGTTTTCCTAGTGAGCCGACCTATTTGAATTGGATAGTGTAAGAAGTACCCCAAAGAAAAATTAAAAAATAGCAGCTTTCTATCATACAGTAGCCAAAGAGAAATAATTTGAGTCTTCCACATCTTTTAACTTTATGTGCTTTTGTAACCTCTTCAAGGGGGGAGAGGCTGTGTGATAATTGAGAAAAACTAGACTGGACATTTAAAGCTGATAGAAGCACTGACATTGTTAGTACAGAACCTAGCATATTGTCTTTCATGTTGTTGTCTAGTCATTTTTCTCCTTCTGCCTTAATAGTTAAAAAAAAAGTGCTTAATTCCAAACTATATAAAAGAACACCAGTGAGCTTTTAAGTAAACTTTTAAGACCACTTACAATATTGTAGAGTCATAAAAAGAAGTGGTTAAAGATTTTAAATGAGATGGGGATATGTACCAAGCAAAGGAAAGATCTTTAATTCATATAGAATTTTTAAGAAGCCTAGGGATTTCTTCTCTGTCTAAAAGCACGCGGGGTGTTTTGCTTGTTACAGTCTGCTGTCTTACTGATACTCAGTGACTTTGCAAGCAAACTTCTGTTATTCTTTGCAAAGAATAAAAGCAAACTTCTGGGATTTCAACTTGAAAGGCGAGATGAGACAACTCTAAAGTTCCAGATTTGGTGAGAGTGTACTGTTTGCAAATTTAATCAAGGTCTTCCGCAGGCATCAGCTTGACATTAAATTTAAGTGCCCATTAAAGGGAGAGTTTGACAGCAGCTCAGAATGCAAGGTTTAATCTGAGGACATCTTTACAGCTAGAAGGGGGGAAAAAAGTTGAGAAGCCTCAAACCACTGTAGTAATTAGTGCCATTTGCCAGCCTTCCCTTCTAATGCTGGAGAGGGAAGATGAGGCTAGAGGGAGAGAGGGGCTGGAATCTAAATGTGGTAGAATGAGGCAGAGTAGTATGCTGGATAGAACAATGGGGTTTATATCCTACCTCAGACTCTATCTGTATGACCCTTAGCAAAAATCACTTAACTTCTCAGACCCTGTTTTCTTATCTGTGAAATGGGAATGATGATAATAATAATACCTACCTCACCAAGTGGTTGTGAAACTTCACTGAGATGATGTGCATAAAGGACTTTGCAAAACTTAAAACAATTTATAAATGTTAGCTATCATTATTATTAGAATGCTATCCAGTGAGCCCTGTGAGAATAGAGTCATTGGCCAGCTGTCATATGGGAAGGACAATAGATCCCAGATGAAGAGGGGAACTGATTTTGAGCACTTTTAAGCATGTTGTAGTGGATAAGACACTGACCTTGGAGTCAGTAAGATCTGGATTCAAATCCCACTGCAGATAGCTGTGTGACTGTGGGCAAGTCATTTAGCTCTTCTGGCCCTCAGTTTCCTCATCTTTAAAATGGGGGGGCAGCAAGGTTTGGACTTAAATGGTCTCTAAGGTCCTTTCTATGATCTGTGGCCCTTTGATTCCTCTTAGCATAGCATAAATAATGAAATAGTAAGTTTGAAGAAACTAGATATTGGTGTGGCTTCAAGCTATGAGCATGTGTGGCCCTTTCAAGGTAGATAACATTTGATCGTAGGGATGGGAACAGGAAGGACCACTAGGTAGTACTCTATGTTCTTAAATGCTATGCTATTCAGATCAAAGCAATGACCAATCAACTTCAGAAAACTTGATTAGGAAACCTACCCCTCCCCACTCCAAAAATGAGGTGGTGGCCTATACAGGTGCTGAATTAAGTATTTGAGATCAGAAGTAGTCAATGTGCCTTTTGTTTTACTTAATTTTGTTTTACTTCGTTGTGAGGAAGGGCTCTATGTGAGGGGATAATGGGAAATGACAGTGATGGCTGTTTTTCTGTTTTATTTTTAAGCTTCAATAAAAAATTTTTAAATTAGGGTACTTATTGTACACTTGGAAAGTTTATTTGACCATAAAATAAGGCCTCTTCTTTGAGATCCAGTTCACTTTTAACAAGCAATCCATGGATGCAGTCTAAGGTTTCCCATTGTAATTGGCTTTGTAGGCAGTTAGCCTCATGACTCTATGGAAAATACCGTATCCCACAGGAAATTATCTCCCCACTCCACTGGACCTGCCAAAAATGATACTATTTCCTCTTATTGGATTGGCTCTCCCTCCCACAAGCTGTTTTTATCCATTCCTCCATGGTGTTTTATTTTTCCTCAGAATGATCACCACAGAACCTTAGCAAAGGCTAAAAAATATGTAGGGATATAAAGCCTCAGTATTTCCCTTGAGTCTATGATTGCAGGACTGTTTTTGAACATTGATGACAAGGTAGTGAAACAAGACCTCTGATAAATGCATGACAGATTTTCCAATTCATCTCAACATTTCTAGGTGTTCATTTGCCAATAATAGGACCAAGAAGCTTCTTTAGGAAGCCATTTGTTTTCTGCTTTTGCACTGGACGCATACAAACAAAATAAATTTAACAGATGCTACATTTAATTTAAGACAGAGCACAAGTATTGGCTTTCTCTTTGAGTGTTGTAAGAAAACTAATCGTGTCACAAAAATGTTCCAAGCCTTACCACTTGGTATAGCTTTTAGCAATAAAAAGTAAATTTCTGCCATGGCTATGAAGATCATCAAGATTGGAATTGTCATAGAACTTTTCTTAGAAGTTATTAGAGCTAGGAGAGACCTTAGAAATCATCTAGTATGATCCCATCATTATACGGATGAAGAAACTGAGGCCCAGAAAAGACACATGATTGTCTACAGGTCATACAGGTTAATTAGCAGAGCCACAATTTGATCCCAA